CCTTAGACTACTCGCGCGTTTACAGCGTAAGCAGTACGCTCGAATGGGCGTTTTTTGCGTTGTGCCTTACTTGACCAAATGCGATGGCCGCTCTTTTCAGGTCGTGACGTCTGTGTCGCTGAACTCGTACTTGCATATGCTTGATCTGAACACTTTCCAACAGGTGTATTTGAAAAAGCTGGATATGCAGCGGTTCAGTGAGTGCGTCTGCATCTGTTACAGTCCGGACGACACGATGTTGTGTGTCGGCTCGCGGTCGCGCTTCACGTTTTTCGACTCGCGCTCGCTTGATCAACAACTGGACGTGCGGTTACCTTCTCGGCAGGATGTCACCGAAACAGGCAATTAATGTTCTAACTATTTATTAAATATCATGCTATATCGATTCATAATTGAGGGCAGTAAGCAACATGCACACATGATAATACTTTTGTTACGAACTCCTTTTGCTACACATACCTTAGCATCTGCAAGACACAATGGTTCATCTTACATAGGCGAAAGATTTTAATTTAAAGTGAATGACAGATTGATACGTGACTCTGGCGAACATATTCATAATTTTAAATTTTAGAATTTGATCTCATTCACTTATTACGTAATTCCGATCTTTCTTATCTTGTTGATAGCACTCAGCTTTCATTTATCAAGACGATTTGATGAACATTTCATCTCCAAATATGCAGTAGCGCCTTTAGCAATATATTATTATTTTTACTATCCTTTGTCGATTGCAAACATTCATCTAACATCATATATTAGAAGGGACATGTTGTGCCGTGCCAGAGTGACCAGACTACCCGATTCGGACTGCAGATAAATGTTCTCTATTCCGTTGGCCAGTTCATTACCTCCTTCGGCTTGTTATAGTCTTGAATGGAAGGATCCCTACACTCATGCCAGTCTTGTAATAGGCCTTAAACCTAGTTTTGTTCGGTAATAATAAAGTGAATATAGGGATTTTCTTAAAATGCATGCGATTCGATCGAGTACCCCCAGCTGCGAGGTTACTGTTTTTTTTATGCTTTCGCTGCGTCTGTTATCCAGTCAGTTAGAGTTCTAAAAGATAGATCGGACAACTCGCACATTTAGGGAATTTCAAGATGCATCTTCAAAACGCATAGGTTTTCTATTCTTAGCCAGAATACTAACCATGAACAGTCGTATTAGTACTTGGTGGTTACCAGTATTTAACCGTCTTCCTCCAACCTTTATCCAAAATTTGTGTGTTAACACCCCCTGTCGGAAATACATCTAATGCCTTTTAAGCAGCCATATGTTCGTTTATGACCTGTTGTTGTTTCCGAATATACAAAGTGAAGCCTTTCATAGCATCTTGCTTGCTTGCGATACGGAGTCCGCCTTAGTGGCGTTATCTTTCCTCGTATCATTTGGGCAAAAACGGGCAATGGCTCCAGTGTGCACCCGCATCTGTAGTGCTTTCTTCTTTTTCTGGACTTATTTATCTCGAAGATGTAATTAAATGTGTCAACCTCTGAGACCATACTACTCAGTTCGTGATAGATTCTCATGCCTACCGTAGCCATTAAACAGGGTACATTCCATCGTTCTGTACAAAATGGACTGATGGTTAGATGCTGAAGTAATTTACTAACTTCAAGATACTTGTTGTAAATTAACAGTTACTACGACATGTCGAAACGAAGCTCCCTATTAATATCAAAAAGACATGCAAATGCTTTACTTCTTCTCCGCTCCGTATGCAGACCTCGCAGACGACGTTGTATTCGACTTGTTTGGCTGTCTGCGGTTGCAGAAAATATGGTCAGTGGTATTTCGTTCGTTGTTCCCAGTTAATGCATTAATTACTGTATTTTTGGTGTAGTTAGCCTTAAGGCTTTTCCGCCATATATGCATATAAAAACTTTAAAGTCACTTTAATTTCAGATTAAATATCGGTTTCGTTTTTGATTTTATAGCGTTGATGCCGAGTGGCGTGCGGTCGATCACTTGGAGAGGGCCGTTGATAACTCTTGGCATGGGCAGCGGCGAGATTTTGTTTTACGACGTCCGAAATTGTCAGTTTCTGTCGTGCTCGTGTCATCCGTCTAATACGCTTCGGATCCGCGGAGGCTACCTGGTAAAATCATGCCCAGTTTTAGTTGGCGTTTGTTGATGTGTTGAATCGATTCACAGCAAGAAGACGATGCGTACCAAGAGATCTTCATGAACTACTTCTGTTACAACGCGGTCTACGCCCACTGCTATGACCCCAGTGGAATCAGACTGTTCGCTGCCGGTGGTCCGATCGCCGCGTCGCTTTACGGAAACTGTGCATCAATTTTGCAGTGATGGTCGCTTATCGGACGAGGCGGTGGCGCGAAGCTGCGTCTTCCAGAAACGCTCAATAAACGGTACGATGCTATGGTGCTCAACACGTGCCTCCAGAGCAGATCCTATGCAAGCGGCGCCGCACCGAACACCGTGCAATCAGCAGACAAAGTATCTGGCCGAAGAAGAAGTTTTTTCGGTCGTTGCTGTTCACGTTCTAGTTGCAAAGTTTAGTTCGATTCTCTTTATCTCCCACAGCCTTTTGTACGTTTTATTGACCACACAGCCTCTGGACATGAGGCTCTCCTTTGGTAGGACCCTTTCCTCACCACAACTTTATGTCTTTCCTTCACAGGACTTCTTTCTCAAACGGTTTTTTCCATGTATTGTATGATAAGTACTTTACGCATTGACAGCCCATTGATGTCACTGTTATTGCTTAAATTTTTAATACTTCAGTGCACGATCTTCACTGTTGTTCATTTCGCAAATGTATACCATAGTAGTCATTTTACAGTACTTGTCACTGATCATCCCGCTTACGCAGATCGTGCATGGCCTTGTTCTATCTCATCGTGCATCATTCAATAAATATGAAAATTTGTAGCGTCAGTTGGGCGGTTTTCGGCTACGTGTTCAGACGTTTTCGTTATTTCACTGACGTATGAGACAGTTACGGGTAATTATTTTGTAATTGGTTTGTATTTTTTATACTTATGGTTTGATATGTTTTATATTTGCTGCCTTTAATGGACGAACCGAGTGAGTAAATATTTCGACCTCTCAGTTTTGTATAATTGTTCTAACTTTCATTATGTCGTCGCTGGCATTTGGACCTACTTGTGTTAAGCATTGCATGATTTAAATTTGTGTCCAACTGACAGCATATAGATCAGCATAATGCATTGCTGATTTTTGTTTCGATGTCTTTGTTCGACAAGCAACGGTCTACTTTGCAAAAAAAGATTGATCTATTCGAAGTAACGGTCTCGATTGCCATTTTTACGTCTATGGACCGAGCTACCGTACATCTAGTGCTTAAGGTTGCACGGGATGATGCGAACTTTACATTTATTATTAAATTATGCATATTCTTACGCAATTAAAATCTGTAATGTCTGTTCTGTTAATGAAACAAATGTCGAATTAGTTCGTTGTTGTTGCATGAGATGAAACGATTATAAACGTCTTGTGGATGTCTCATGCCTAAGCCTAAATGTAGCATGCGGGGAGTGCCCTGATAAACGTAGAGTTCCATCCGACTGCTATGGATCGGCTACTTTGCCACGATCCTTGTGGAAATGTGCTCGCTTGCGGGTTTAGTCAGTGTCAGTCATAACATATCGCTCATGGTTGATTTATGATATTTATCGACCCTGACAAGATGCTTTATAGCGCTGACAGCTGAATGGATCGGTTGAAAATGACAGGTCCATGTTCTTCGTTTCTGGTTGAGAGGTAGCTTTTTTCAGCCATGGCACCGCCACGTATGGAATACAATAGGGAATTTACGTACATTGACCGTCGCAATCGAATAACAGTACAAACAGAGAGCATATTATGTAATTTTTGGAAATTATCCTAAAAGAGCTCTCGAAATAAATTTTTAGCTTAGTTTACTCGCACGACAACCAATGGCGGTCTTCCCCAAGGCTATCGACAGAGACCCTGATTTAACAGGATTGTTGTAAGTCCTGTGTTATTTATCATATAATACAAAAATTGCGCTAAGTCGGTATGAAAGCATCGGTTGGGCGTTCCAGTCATGGATGTTGAGCGAGCAATGCAAACCTAAGATCCACCCTTATTTGGTGTATGCTGGATATATTGTTTACTGAATAAAACTTTCTACCATGATAGTGTTGCGTCGTTATATACACATAACGACTAGTCTTCGAGCGTTTCAGGGATAGCACCTTCAGACAGCTACATATGCTTCTTCTAATTTTTCAGCATCCGATAAAACTGTCGGTATGTTTATAGACATCCCTCGCGATCGAAATTGATTTAATATGTTTAAGAGAGAAAAATGTTATCTTTAAGAAGTTTTTTCTCTACTAGGTAATGCAACAGCTGAAAGTGTCACTATCAGGCGTCGTGTGGCAGTGATTCTTTTGTTTGAGGTACTATTACAGAAAAACGATCAGAAGTCTCAACGAGACTATAGCATTGTGCATTCAGTCCTTTTTCGCTGAGCACATCGCACTTATCAGAGGAATGACATGTTTACGTCAGCTTCATTACATCTGCTGGCTGCCCACTCTTACTGACGAATTCGATCTGGTATTTGATGTTAGCTGATTGAATCCATGCGTTGTTGACGAAGCAAAAGTAGTAAAAGCCAGTGCCCGAATGATACAGCGATTGGTCAGACGGTGCCACTTTTCCCGGATAATCAAGATACGGGTAAAGAATATCATTGACGTCAGATGCGGCGTTTTCGGAGAAGCGCAGCACAAATCCGTAGTCTTCGTTAGCGTACATGTTCCACCGAATTGTGACGTCCGCTTCCTTTACATGGAACGTGAGATTTGTCTTAGCACCAGCTGAAACTGACAGTATCTGATAATCGTTGAAGTAGTCACCGGATATTTGTGATTTCCAATACAGCTTTTTTGGGATCTTTTCAGACAGCGGATATTGAATTTTACTAGAGCACCTTTCGTCACCATTCTCGTCGACCATGTTTCCGCCCCAGTACTTTGGCAGCTGATCGGCTTCCACGAATTTCAACAATTCTTTGTGCCAGTCCTTTCCTAAGATGCATATTGGCATACTGGTTAACTGCGGTAGAGCCGCCAAGAAAATATTCCACACTTTGCCGAAAAACCATGGAGTATTGATGAGAAAACACTGTTCTACCCATCCAACATAATTGTCGCCGAGCACAGTCCACCACGTTCGGAACATGTTCACCATGCCAATTAGGGCAAGGTCCAATTTCAGGCCTAAATGGCAAAATGCAATAGGAGAAAAACTTAATTAGTGAACAAGCGAATGACTATTCCTAATTAATTGTACTTTTATTCTTTTGCTCCTACGCAGAAATATTCTAAGTGAAATAGTTTGTAGCTAGATAATGCTAGAGAAGTAGAACTGTATTCTTAGAAGGGAATTACTAACGCATACTGCAATTCAGCAGAAGTAGAATTCGAACATATTCGTTTCAACATTTCAGAATGTATTTTGCTATTTTGCACGGTGTAGCATTGAACCCTTTCTCTACGGGATGCTAGTTCGAATTGGTGCCTAATTCATCATTCCTCTTCAGTAAGTAAGAAGTAAGACGAGCATGAGCTATTCATGGTGACGAAAACCTGGCGAAAAAAACAATGGTCCGCCCATGTATGTCAAGGAACAATGCGAAAAGACTTCAAGAATTGGGCAGCAATGCCCCCCCTCCCACCGATGATCAGATTGTAGCAGAAATATTTTAAAAAATTGAATGAGCAGGCAGATCGGGGAGGGATGCATTCCAGTCACTAACGAATTGGATAAATCCTGTTATACTTATTGCCTGAAAACCACTCAGCATCAGTAGCATACAACAAAAGCTCATCTACTGGATCTGGACATATGAACCGTTTTAAAAGAAAAAGGCAGTTTTAGAAACAATCTACCCCTCTATGTCGAAGAAGGGACGCTAGACAATATTAGAAAAGTTGGAATCGCTAAATTATTGAATTTATCAAATTGTTTGCGTTGTGCATAAATAAACTGTATTATGTGCTGTTTCCGGTACATCAACCAACGCGTGAACCAAATACTCCAAAATATGCACTGTCATCATTCATTTCATTATGAATTATAAAATGGCGTCATTTTGACTGCGTCACTATGTCACGAATATGATTACGTAATTTTAGAATGACTACGTTTTCAGTGTGACAATTCTGGCAAGAGTGCTACGCTGCACTTCTGGATCTTGACCTACTAAGCAGTAGTCAAAAGTGCTATCGTCCTTCCGTCTATAGACAGAGTTTGGTTAGTCCGCCCTGTTGGCGCAGCGGTCGTCGTTCCCCCTTTGTAAGCTATGCAGCATGATGAAACAATTCACTACGTTCTCTTGGGAACAACGACTGCCAGTTCGTCCGCCCTGCTTTATGGTTCTAGTGTCTGTGTTTCCCTAATACAAAACTGCCTCAAGAACCACGACGTATTTTGTCGACGACCACGGTCTCTTAAATCGAACAACGTTTGTGGCTGCTCACTGAGTATAACGGGATACCAACGTAGAATATTTAGTACAAATTAAGGAATGTAATAATATAACTGGTTGTCGTTCCGAACGTCACAGG